TTTAGCTATTAAAAACTATTGATTCCGGTATAGTCTTTCGCAATACTTTAAAACTCTTTTATTAAGCTTGTTTTAAAGCATTTTAATAACAATAAGTTATAAAGCTTTCGAGCACGAGTAATTAAAAGCTTGCTAAGCCGTATATAAGATAATTTTAAGCTTAATCGATAGTAAAACGTCGTCGTAAAATTTACCGCACTTTTATTAAGCGAATGCAATTGATTTTTCTTTGCTTAACATTATCTTTTTAAACAAATCTTTTTCTTTAAGTCGTAAAGTATTATCGATATTTAAGTTCGTTATACGTTCGAGTGTGATTCGAAAGCCTTTCGATATATCGGCAATACGCAGAAAAAAGTATTGCTTGTATTCTTTTACTTGCTTTTATAACGTATCTTTAGCTTTCGATAGCTTATATTAATCAACTTTGCTATTTAATACTGCTTTTACGCCGTTTGCTTCGTTAATTAGTTTAATTTTTTTATTTTTAGTTTTATATATACCGAACACTTTAACTAAGTTTAAAAAGATCTTTTTTCGAGTTCGATAAAATATCGAATTTTAATAATCGATATAATCGTAATAGCGAATTATAAAGTTATTAATGCTAATAGCATTTATTTAACAAGTTGTTAAAAGATCGTATAAATCGCATTTCGTAAAAGCAAAAACATTAATAAACTGCTTTTAAGTAATAAAGTCGTTTTTTTTTCGATGCTATAGCGTTTCGCTTTTAAAATCGAACGAAAAGCAAAAAGCTTTTAATATACCGACTTCGGCGCTTTTAACGAAGTCGATTATTAGTTTTCCGAATCGCTATTGCTATTACTCGAAGACTTATCGTAATAAATAAAGCTTATACTTTGCTCTTTTAAGCGATCGACGGCTTCGTCGTATTAATTTGTTTTATCGCTTATTTTAACTTAAGTAACTTAGCTCGTATACGGATTAGTAATTATTATAATAATAAGATTACTTTTATAATTCGAAAAGTATTAAAAACCGATTTTCGTTTTACGTATAAAAAAGTAATCGAGTATAAGTTAAAACTTTAGCGAATTTATAATATAAAATCAAATACGGATCGTAGCACTTTCGATATTAATAAATATATTATCGGCGTATCCGATAAAGCGCGATAATAAACCGGTAATTATTTAAAAGCTTATCTTTTAATCGTAAGTTATAAAGACTTCGAATTTAATCGCGGCGTTATAAGTAATAACGCTGACCTCCGCACTTGTATCGAATATAACCCGCGTATTAATAATAAAAGACTATCCGAGTATATTAATAATGACTTTAAAAGTTAGCGAATGATAATAAGAATATTTAAAGAATAATTAATTAAACGTCGAAGCTAAACCGATTTCCGTCGAAAAAAGTTTCGAATCGCTTTTAATTACGGTTCGTAAAGTACGTCGATCTTTACGAGTAAACTAATCGAAAAAGAGATATTAAAACTAAAAAACACCGTAAAATACAATTATAAAAAGAATCGAAATAAAGCTAATAATAAAAATAAAGCAAAACCGCTTTTAAATCGAAAGAGATTCGAATGCTTAAAGCGTATTGCGTCGGCGGTGCTTAATCTAACTACTACGGATGTTTTTTTATAATTAAAGCTTAATTATTTAAAAGAATTCGAATAAGCGTTCGAGTTAAAACCGTTAAGCAATAGCATCTTTGTATAAGATCCGTCTTAATCGAGTAAAGACTTACGTAAAGTCTATTTTACCGGTGATTCGGCCGTAAGTCGCAATAATAAAAAAAAAAGAAAAAAGTAAATTCTTGCGATAAAGCGCTTTATTAATAAAGCGATTCGTAACTTTGCAAAACGGATCGTTATTAAATAAAAAGATATTACTTTTTCTTTAAATAAGCCGCTAAAGCTTCGAAGCAAATCCGTCTTTTATCGGATTATCCGTCGCTTTCGATATAAGCTTGCTATTTATAATTAAGCAATCTTTTAAAGCTTCCGTAACGCTAACCGTAACTCAAAAGCAATTAATAGCGCTTTCGTTAATAAAGGTTTGTTAAATCATCTTATCGATTATACTTTCGAAAGAAGATCGTTTAAAAGTAAAAAGAGCAGCGAAGAACGCAATAATCTTATTAAAAGTTAAGTTCTTTAGCAAATCGCGCCTTTTTAAAAGCTTAATACGAATCGCTTCGTAGTTTATTCTTAAAAAAGAAATTACTTTATTAAGTCTTTCGTATAATTTAACAGTCTTAAAAGGCTTAGCCTTAAGCTTAAGTACAGCTTTAAGAGCTTTTAATAGCGTGACGAGCAAATTCCGTAAGTCTTTCGGTCGTAAAGCGTTTCGGTTAAGAATCGCGGTATAAGCGAGCTCGAGTTTATTTATTTCTATTAGTTTAACGAAAATAATTTTAAGTTAATTATAAGTAGATTAAACCTTTGCTTTTGCTAAAAAAGCGTCTTTTAGCGAATATAACGTAACTCGAAAAGCTGCGTTGCGCGCTCGAGTTTTTATTAATGCAATAATAACTTTTATATTAAATACGCGAGCATGTAAATCCGCTAATATAATGCATCGCTAGCGAATTATATCCGAAGTATTAAAGTCGTTAATACGAAAAGCTTCCGTATTACCGTCGTTAGCTATTCGAATAAGTGCTTTAGCGCGTTCTTATACAGCTTTTTTAATAGATTCTCGTTATGCTTTTAAAGCTTTATAACAACGCTTAAAATTAAGATTATTTATTATTTTACGAACTTTTTTTAAAACTTACTTATACTTAAAAGTATCGTTTTAAAACTAAAACGAAATCGATAATATCTCTTTTTAATACGACTTTATATATATCAAGTCCGCTTCGTTAAAGTGAAAGGCTAGTCCGTATTAAAGTATAAATAAATAGCATTGATTTTAATATTTATAAAGCTTTTATTAATAGTTAAGTAAGTCAAAAGTTTATTAGCATTAATAGAAAATGCAATTAAAATCGTTTAAAAACCGTTTCTTTTCCGATATTACGTAATTACGGTTCGAATAAGTATCGGCCGTATTAATCTCGTAGACCCGGTGCAAAGCGATTTCTTAAGTCTTTTTATATTAAGCAGCTTTTAATAAGTTTATATAAGCTTCTTTCGGTACGAAAGCGAAGCTATCGATAAGTCTTAAGTAAATATTAACTTTCGCTAACTGTTTTATAAGAACTTCGATTTTTAAATCAAGATCGATAAACGAAGTAATCGAACTCGTAGTAATAATACTTGCGCGATAAGAAAAAAAGAAATAAGTACTATCGAAGTAAGTGTTATAAAAAAGCGAAACGTATAAGTTTCGCTTACTTTCGGAAATGATAAACGGTACTTAAAAACGAGAGTTCTCGTTTTAATAAAGATTATAACGAGAAAAAGCTTTAAAGATTTCGGCGTAGCTGTATTTTTTAATCCGTTTTGCAATAATCTATTCTTGCTTAATTAAATCGCTAATTATAATATATATTATATTATACGTTTGTAAGTAATCTTTTTTAAGTTTAACGTTCTTTTAAGTCCGATTCTATATCGATAATAATAAGCAATCGAAGAACTTTTACTTTAATTGCTTATCGATAATATCTTTATTAATTAAGCAAGCAAAGCTCGTAAAATTAAATTATTAAGTGAATTATAAAAGCTCCGTTTTAAAAGCTCTTTCTTTTGCTATCTATTTATTGCTTAAGTCGTTTAAAAAGCTAATACTATCTTTTTACTTAGCTAAGTCGAAAGCTTTATACTCTTTTTTAACTATCGATTTAAAGTCGTCTTAAGTTACTTTCGGATTCGAAAAGCCGTCGAAGCTTTCGATATTGCAACGTATATTATAATCGAAAAAGCTAAAAATATTATATTTAACAAAGCATTACTTCTTTTCCGAATCGGTAACGATACCGTAATCTTTAAACGCTCGTTCGAACTAGCGAATGTAATCTGTAATATTAGCTTTATCGAAAGCGAGTATTTTAAAAGCTTTAAGTTTAAAAAAAAGTTTACGAATACTTACGTAATTCAAAGCATTTACGAAAAGTAAGAAAGCTTGAATCTTCTTTACTTCGTCTTCGATTAGCTTACGAGTAGCATCTTCGCTAAGTCCGAAATCCTTTTGAGTCGAAGAAGTTATAGCTCTTTTTGCTTTCTAAAAGCTTTAACGTAAAGCCGTTAAGTTGAGTTAATAAATACCGATTAAAGTGTAAATGTGTTTTAAAACAAATGCGAAAAAAAAACGAAAATAATAAAATAATATAAATATAAATAAATAATAAAAATGAAATAAATACAATTTATAATAAATATTAAATATATAAAGAAATGTTATAAATATATAAGATCTCGATGCGTCGAAAGTAATTTATTAAAAAGTCGAGTGCTAATCGCTTCGAGCTAGATAATCGAAATTAAATCGATATAATAAATGATATTAATAATACGTTTAACTCTTAAACGTAAGATCCGAATAAGCGGAAAAGTAATTGCCGAGATTAAGTGTATCGAAATAAAAACGAAGTCGATTATTAATTAAGCTTTCGTATAAACATATAGCTTGCTTTTAATATAATACGATACCGAAACGATTCTGAATTGCATAATACTTATTTCCGCTCGTCGTATCTTTCATTTGCTAAAGCGAAAGATATTCGAAAGCAAATCGAGATCTTTATACGTAATCTTTATTGCAAAGTAAGTATTGAATTTTCAACTTCTTAAGCTTAGCGTAGTATTTCCGGTATTTAATTACTACTTACCTTTTTAAAAAAGAAAAAGTAATAGACTCGTATTAAAATCGATATTAAATCGAAAAAGTAAAGTATACTAAACTGTAGTGCTTACCAGTATTAAGATCAAGAGGAGATTCTGTGGATTGAATAAAGCTTGATATATTTTATCTAAAAAGCTCGTCAAGATCTATGTACATGTACTTAAGAGCTTTAATATGCTAAAAGCGCTATTAAGCGAGGTCATATAACATATCACATGTAGCTTAAGTAGAACTATGCTTGTTCCGCATAACACACTCTTTAAGTTAGCAGCGTAGCTGCTGAGCTGCAAGCAAACAAAAAAGAAAAAAAATAAGTGATTAAGCTTTTTAAACTCGATGTAAACAAAAGAGATTGTTATCGCAGTCTAAATAAACAAATAGCGGTTGTTATTGTTGATTGAGTGTTAATCAAGAATGCAATTCTTTTTTAAGTCGGTCTTATTACGTAGCGAAGGTCTTTAGCGCCGTCTTTATCGCGTTGCTATATAAGTAAGAGCGCGTTCTTTTCTATTATAATAAACACTTAACTTTTATTTATTTATATAATGCTACTTAAGCAAATAACTTAGTTTAATAGAATCGTCAAGCGCGGCCGAAGCCGTTTAAAAGTAAGTGCTTTTAATAGATTAATATATCTATGTTGATTATTAAAAGAATCCTTTCTTTACTTTAGCTATTGCTGCTGCTGCAATTGCGGCGGTTACGGCGGCTATACTACGCACTTTTACTTTCGAAGCTTCGCCCCTTCTTTTAAACCTTCTTATTAAGCGCTTGCTTATACTAACGACCGTCAAAGCTTTAAGGTGCATTAAGTGTATTAATAATAAGATTACATCGAAGTCTAATAAAGACTGCTATAATTGCGATACGAGCGTTATACGCTATCTCCGGTGTGCTAAAAGTAACTATAGCAATTGTACCGTTGCTTCTGCCGCTATCAACACCGCTTTCGATAACTTCGTAAGCGCTAAAGATAGTGGTGCTATATAAAGAGTTCGCCAAGGTCTTCGAAATGCTATGCGACAACAGCTCGCCTTAAATGCTACCTTTTTAAGAGGTGCTGCTAGTGGTCCGGGCGGTTTAGCGAGTAGAAGTAAAGGTTTTAAAAGTAGTCTCGGTAGCCTTGCAAGTTTTGCTCTTGCTCTTAAGACCTTTAATTTAAATATAGCCTTTGTTAGATTAAATGGTTCTATAGCAGCAAACCGTAGTCCGGTGACGCGGAGCGCTTCGAGCATGTCACTCTTTCGTAAGTCAAGCTTTTTGACTTTCGAAATAATTTAATTTAAACAGCTCTTTTTAACTAGAACTTCCTTTCGGACTTTATGCAAAAGCTTTAATCTGCTGCTGTAGCAGCTCTTGCGCTTGCCGCCTTTGTTGCTCTCGTCGCTTTCGCTGCTCCCGTCGCTTTCGCAGCTCTCGTCGCTCTCGTCGCACTCGTTGTCGTCGCTCCTTTTGCGCTAGTCGTTGCGCTTGCCGTTCCCGCGGCGGCGCTCGCCGTTGCTATGACTTTTGCGAAGCGCCGAGCTAAAGTAAAAAGATTGCTAAAAGCTTTAATAAATCTTTTATTATAAGAGGCGAAAAGTAAAAGCGTATAAGATAAGATAGAATGACGGTTAAGATTGCTAAATAAATGTTTTCTTTTGAATCACGTGCAAATAAAAAAAAAATAAAATGTAATAAATGAATAGCATATGCGTACTATTAAAGCTTCTCGACTGACGCGCGAGCGTCTTATAAATTTAAGAGCTTAATAAAGCTCTTAAACTTTTGTCGAGTCAAGTTCTTTATAAGACCGTTAGCGTGCATCTCTTTAATAAAGAGATATTGAACTTGAAAGCTCTTTTTTAAGTGCTTTTAACGCAGTTATATATTATAAATATCGACGTAGCGAAGCTTGGTAAAGATACGCTCCTTTTTACTAGCTATAAGCTTGATTGTTTATTAATTATTATAATAAACTACTTAAAGCGCCGTAAAACGAAGGTACAGCTTTTTAAAAAACCGTTAAAGCGTTATAATCTCTTTCATTATGAAGGCCATGCCAAAAAGCTCCGCTTTAATAGATGATATAGTAACTATATTTTGCTTTAAAGCTTTTTAAAAGATCGCACTTTCGAATAAAAACACAATGTATCTTTAAGAAGATCGCTTTGTCTCTTCGTCATCGGCGTAAAAAGCGTTAAAGGCTATTATTAGCTTTGATTTGCTAAATTAGCTATATTAAATACTTTTGAAGCGCGAGCCAAATAAATATCGCAAATACTAGTTTATAGCTCGAAAGTGCTCCGCGCTTAGATTGATGCTAAAATAAAAGAGTTGAGAAGCTGCAAAAGCTATATCTAAGCGTAGCATAATCGTTATATATAATACGGATTTAACCTTTTTTTAATACTCTTTTACTTGCTTTTGCGAAGCTATTTTTTTATTTTTAATTAAGTCATAGAACGGTAATAGAGTTGCTAAGCAGCGTCCGTCCGTAAGTTCGAATTTCTTAGTTATTTTTTCAATATAAGCGTCGTGCATAAGCGTTAGCGTTCTTCGCTAACGGTTTCGAGCGACTCTTATATTAAGAAACCATTTAATATCTTTTATCGTTTCGATTTCGTACGCTTTATTAAGACCGTTAATAATCTTTTGCGCTTTAAAAAGATTAAAGTGATAATATATGACTTGAATATCGTTTACGTAAAACGCTATAAAAACCGTCTTATTTAGATTCGTAAAAATACACGGTTCTTTACCGAGTAAAGTAAGCTTTAATTTGTCGAATGTGCTTATAAAGTCGAAATATTATAAAGCTAACGAGTCTTTAAGTTTATATAAAGCTTTATCGACCTTTACGAGCATACTTTTTTATTTAAAACCGTTAAAGAGATAATACGTAACTAAGACGCTATCCGTATATCTTATAGCGTTAATAAAAGCGTTAACGACGTCGAACTGTTTTACTTTTAAATCAAATTCGACTATTATAGCTATCATTATCTTAAACGATCTAGCTGCTAGCGTAGCAGCGTAAGTTGAATAGATAATAGATTCGTCTTAAAAGTCGCTTTTAACTATAATCCTCGATCTAAACCTTACGATTTCTTCGAACGAGCTAGTCTTATATATAAACACTTATTTAAAAAGTATAAGTTTTGACTTAGCTTCGCTTTCGAGAATCACTTTCTAGCAATTCTTCTTTTCTAGATTATTTAGCTTTATAAGAGCTCCGTCCTTGAACTCTTTGCCGTATAAGTGTCGTTATAGCTCTTTTTAATAAGTAAAAGGTTTTAAATGTTTTCGTTCTTACGAGTTAAGCTGTTTTAATAACAGTTTAAACGAAGTAATAGCTGCTATAATAACGTATAATATCTCGTAATCTTTGCTATTTTCGCGCACGGATTCGCTATTAGCTTAAAAAGTCGATATAAAATTTAAAACGCGCGAATAGCGGTTCGAATCGGCGCGAAAGTTGTTTAAAAGAAGCTTATTAACACTTGCGTATATTTTCGCGCGTTTTCTAATGCGGCTATTAATAAGTGAATGCTTTTTATTAAAGTCGGAATTTTATTTAAAGTGTTTATAATTTAATTTCTTATTATTAGTGTTCGCTTTAAGAAGGTTTAAAAGCTCTTTTTTAATTGTTTGGTTTGAATCTCCGCCGGTTATTAACGTAAAAGCTTCCGTTGGTCGGCTTATAACTTAGCCTTTCGAGCTTCGGCTTTAAATAACAACTTAAAGGTATGATTTGCGCGCTTTTTTATTAAGGCTAGGTTTTTGCCCGTTTATAATGCTTTTCTTTGCTTCTGGCAGTCTTAAAGCACCTTCGCTTTTATTCTTAATTAAAAAGCTGGCGAAACGTTCAACGGTGTAACTTGAATTATCAAAGTCTATTAGATCGTTTCGTAAAGCAATTGCTTTTAATATAAACGTATTTATAAAGTTTCTAATTAAAATTAAAACTCTTAACGTTTATGCATCGCTAAAATTAAATAAAGTCGCATTTTTTAAGCTTTAACTAAATCTTTTTAAGTTAACCTTTATAAAGTTTAACGGCTGCTCACCTTTTATATCAGCTATATTCGTCTTTTTTAAGCGATCTTTTGCAACGTTCTTTATATTAAACAAAGCGTCTTTTATTTAATTAAAGTCTTTAATATCTTTTAATTTAATAACGATGCTTTTAATCTCGTTAATCGATTAGCCGATCGATTTTTCTTCGTCTTTAAAATAAAATTAAGTCTTATCGAACGTTACGTTGCGTATGACAATTACTTTATAAAACATAAGAACATAGATCTTGTATATATTAAAAGCTATATATCTAACTAAGTAGCTTATATATCTTTTCGGTTTGACTTTAAAAGCTCTTTTATTACGAAGAGCTTCTCGGTTTTTAATTATTAAGTACGTACGAGCGCTATACGCAATCAAACCGCTATAATCTGGTCTTAAGTCGATATCGATCCGTATAAAGATCGCCGGATCGTATTACTTAAAATATTGCTTAAATTAAAGCTATAGCATTTCATTCGAACTCTTTATAAAACTCTTAGCTTTCGGTATTATATTATAAAAGTAAATAACGGCTAATGTAGTTTCAGGCTAGAGCTTTTCTAAAAGCCTTGCTTTTATTTTCATTTTAATAAACCGTTTTATCACTTCTCTTTTAGCCCTTTTAGCTTTTTTATTAAGTTCGTAATTAAAAGATAGTAAAAGCTTTAACTCGATCTCAACTTCTTTCGCTTATCTTTAATATTCGGTAAAGTCGATTACGTTAATTGCGATTATCGAAGAATCGTTGTTATAACGTATAACAGCTATTAAAAGACCGTATTTGCGTCTCGTTTATGCTTTAAATTCTTTTAGCACTTTTATAACCGTCAATTGTAACTTGTCTTTTAATATAAAGCCGAATAGCTTTTTATTATATTTATCTTTAATTATTAATAACTATTTGCTCTTTTCGAAACTATTAAAAAAGTCGAATAGATCTTAAGCGATCTTGTAAAATAGCTTAGCTGCTTTATTATCTAACGTGCGGCGAGATATGATTTGTTAAGCGTGCGTAATAGCATATGCTTTATATTCAACCTTAATAATTCCTTTAAGTCTAATTCTTTTAGCGTTATAAGCTAACGCTTCGAAGGCTTTTTTGCTTAAATGACCTGTCTATAAATGCTAAAGTACCGATAAATCCTCTTTTAAAGCTCGGAAGACACTGTTCTTTTAAAATTTATAGCGTATTTGCAAACGCTTTTAAGTTGTAAAGAACATCATTAAGTAAAAAAAGCTACGAATCAATTAAAGTAAAGAATAATTGAATAGCTTGTATTTAAAAAACGTAAAGTTGAACTTCTTTTTTAACTTTCTTAATATAACGCTTTCTTTAACTTCTTTGTAACGGAGAGTTGCGTCATATCTCGAATATTATACGCTAGCTTTGCTTAAAAGAGCTTCCGAGATGATATTAATATTAAACCTTTTAACGATAACGACGTTCTTTAATTTTAAATCTTCCGTTTTAGCTTTATTTAGTCCGTTCAAAGCTCTTTTAAAGACTTTAGTCTTTCGCTCGACGACTAAAAGACTACTCGTTCCAGCTTCGATAAAGTCAATTAAGCGAAAGCGCTGAATTGACCTTAGCATTAAAAGATTCTTATCGTTAATAAAGTAAGTAGCGCCGCAATTATCGAAAAGAATGCTGTTAAATAGCTAGTGCTTATTGTTAGCCGTATTATAAAGACCGTTAAAAACAAGATTATCGAGCGTATTAAAGAGCTTAAGATCGATAATAACTATTAATACTTTTTTAAAGTATTTTAACTTATCGCTATCGTTCGATTGCTTTTCTTTGCTTTTTAAAACGATCTTATCGATTTGAATTTATGCTTAACCTTCTTTCGTGATCTTTTTTCGGAGCGCTTTGAACTTAAGCTCTTAAAGCCTTTTTTTTATAGCGACGATATCATCTCGGTTCGGCTTTGCGAATCTATTTTCGTTAAGACTATTAAAGCAATAGCGAAGGATCTTGCATTTAATTGCGTTTTAATAATAGTTTCTCTTTTTAAAGCACGAGCACTTAAAACCTTTAGCAAGTCTTTTAAAGCTATCGGAGCGTTTACCGGACTGCTTAAAAGCAGTGTCGTTAGCCTTATCATTTCCGGAAGTGCTGCGAATCGTTTGATTTTCGAAAGTAGCGAATACATTAAAAAGGTTAGAGTTCGAATTATTAATCTTTTTTTCGACTTAGCTTTCGTACTAGTTAAAATAGTCGTAGAAAGTGCGCTTTTAAAGCAATAACAGCTCGTCGTTTCGAATGACCTTTACGAGCTTTAGCGACGCTTAAGTTAATAACTATTTTTCGCTAATAGCTTTTAAGAATACCTTTATCGCGAGTGTATTCGTCGTCTTATAAAAGTTGTTCATCTTCGCTAACTTATAGATAGCTCGGTGTTCTTTGATCTATACCGATAAAGAGACGCTCTTTTGCTTAGCTGCTTGCAAGGATTTGTTATAATCTCGTGCTATCGATAGCTTAAAGCTCGAGTCGGATAGACGGCATATTTCTTAAAGCTTCTTTATTAAGAATTAAATAAAAGTGTTGTCTTCTTTTAAAGCCGCTAAAATCGCTTCCTCGAGAATAAAGCTCTCAATCGTCTTTTTAATTTAATCTATGATTTGATTGCTCTTATTACTTAAAACTTTTTAATTGTTTATAACGAAGTTATATTTTTTTATATTATCGTTATACGCCTTTCGAACG